GTCGATACATATCCAGAAATACGAACACGTCCTTCGCCTAACGTATATCTAGAAACAATATATAAGCATTTTTTAATTTTTTTTTTTAATTCAATTGAAAACTTTATGAAGCAATGCAGACGCGTGAATAGTGAATATTCCATATAATTGCAGGCTGACTGAGTGCAGTACCAACAGACGTTCTTGAACTTGACTGAACATTTGGGTCGACATAACCTCCTCTCGTCCAGGGGATTTCCAACTTTACCATTAATAATAATAAAATGCACAATTCAACAAACTTCATTCTCGCTGGCAACATTTCACTCGACCCCATCACGCTAAACTGTGCTGTACTTCAAATGCCAATGAGTCGAATATTCAAGTAACAACACTATACATTTAGCTGGATAATTATCAACTTTGACGTTATATATTTAAGGTGTAAATTAGACTGTGGCAGTGGGCTCGTCAGCCCGGAAGCAACTTGTTGAGTGACAAACAGTGAGACGGATTGATTTCCGGCGGTCAGCGTCGTGTCGACCGACTACTGGTGTACTGTTGACGGTCCACCATCGAACAGTACGAGTGTAATCAATTTTACAACGTCCTAGTACTCCAGTCGATTCTACACTTGGTGAAATCTGATGTTAGATTCATAGCAAACAACAGTATACATACTATACAGTATTACTTGCTATGGATCTGCCTGATATTGAAAGAAAGAAAGTAAACTATTTATTTGATTCATAGCAATAACAATTACAACTAAAGCATATAGCATATACAAACATAATCATTTATAAATTTAAAGAAAAAAGGAAAAAAAGGAATATATATATATATATATATATATATATATATATATATATATATATATATATATATATATATATATATATATATATATATATATATATGTATATATATATATTTATACAAATTAGAATGGCAAACAAGCTGACGGCCCACCTTGATGGAAAGTGGTAACCGTCGCCTATTGGCATGAGCAGTACCATGGACATAATAGAGTATACTGTTTCGCCCATTATACCCCCCATGCGTTGTCATTCCTGAGGACTCAGGTGTTATTCCTCTGTACCTAGTAAATTCACGCCATATCCCACCCTTCAAACCGAAACATAGCCATGCAAACACAGCTGTTTCACGGTTGAAACACACTTGGGACAGAGGTACCCAAGCAATCGACTCGTGTACAAAGTCTCCCTCTGGTGGTGGTATATATATATAGAATTACTGAACATAGATAAGTTCAAATAAATTCATTCTCACCTATCATACTTCACTGGTGCCCCGCCAGCATATACCGATAGCGTAGGCGGATCTACCAATCCATTTTCCCACATAAAAAAATAAAAATACTAGACCGACTTTGATAATTTTTCAAATCTATAAAACTCCAGTGTTTGTCCCAAAAATTTGTTACAACAGAAGTAACATTAGGTGAAGCGAATCACTCGTTTATTTAGTTGTTTTAAATTAGCTTAATTTACAACATACATGTTATGTATGACATTGAAGTGTCGAATGTATGTATGATAAATGAATCGCAAAACATCTAGCAGACACAAATGTAATGCGACAGAGACATGAGTCATATTGACACAGTTGCAGTCCGCGTTCCTTCTACCACACAGCACAGCATATGAGACTCGCTTCGAGTCATAATTGGATGTAAACAATATTAATACAATTTTAACTAACTTCTAAAAGAGAAATTCAATTCGATTGTGTTCTTAATTCGTTTCTATCAAGTTTATACGTCACGCGATAATATATTGTTCTAAAATTCAGAACCGATTGGACGATTCTTTTCGTAGTTAAAATATGTTATTCCTCTTAGTTCTATGTTAATTTTTTTATACAACTTAGAATGGCAAACAAGCTAACGGCCCACCTGATGGAGAGTGGTAACCGTTGCCTGTAGACATGAGCAGTACCATGGACATAACAGAGTATACTGTTTCGCCCATGATACCCCACATGCGTTGCCATTCCTAAGGACTCAGGTGTGTACCCAGTACCTCTGTACCGTGTAAATGCACGCCATATCCCACCCTTCAAACTGAAACACAGCCATGCAAACACAACACGTTTAAACCACAAATGGGACAGAGGTACCCAAGCAATCGACTTTTGTATAAAATCTCCCACTGGTAATCTAGTATATCCTTTCAGATAAATAAATAATTTTTCAAATCGGTTTATGACTGACGGAGTTATAAGGTAACAAACAAAAAAGAAAAAAATATAATATATAAAAAAATTGAGAAACTTATTCTTTTTCAAGTCGGTTAATAAACGAACACCGTCACTTTTTGGATTATACGACACACGCAGACAGGCGAAATGTTTGTCATCGAACTTTCCTCATTAAATTTGGTACATGACAATTCCTTAATTATAACTTACCTATTTAATTACTTAAATGGGCGTAAAGTAACATTATGTCTTTCCACGTGACAAAATAAAATTGTAACTTACAGATTGGTGCCATGGACATTTCATCAAAATCGGTTTAGTTTTGTAATTAATACAACTAGTTTTGTTGTATAACGTAAATCACGTTATACAACTAGTTAATGAACGAAATTTTATTCTTACATTACACACGTAAATACAAACACGTTGTTCGTTAATAATTAATTAAATAAACAAATATACAAATAAAATGCCATCTTTTAATATATTTACCATACGATTTAAAAAGTAGGGAACGTATTTTAGAGAAATTGTATCCAAGTATTTACATTAGGTCAATTGTATGCGCGCGTTGAAATCTTTTATATGGTAATCGAGTTATTGATATTTCCTAAAAAAAGCCCAGCTATATCCCGTATTAATCTAAGTTTATGACATAAGAATATTTACAAAATGTATGAAAAATAAATATTATAACTTCAAATTTATGAAATAAAATATAAAATAATTAATAAACCGCGTGTGATGGCATCGTAACAATGGAAATCTTAATGTAAAACCAAACCAAACCACCTGGCCGAGTGTTAAGCTAATATCATATATATTTGATGTATGGAATTACCCAGTGGAAATACAACATAACTAGAGAATGGGGTCTAATGAACCCATTGCTAGTAAAATACCCTATCAGGTCGTCCTCCACGCGGTTCCCCCTGGAAACCATCGTGGTTAATTCTAGTGGAATTCGTCACGACGGGCTTACTGACCTGCTTTCATCCTCATCTATCATCACTCACTGGTGCCCTGTCGGTGTATACCGATAGCGCGGGTGTGGTTACCATTCCATTATCACCCATTAAAAAAAAAACTAGAGAATTGTGTCCCATAAAAAAACCAACTACAATTATAAGAAAACCAATTATTTTAATTTAAAAACCAAATTACTGCACGGATTTTGATAAAAATTCTATAAAATCAATCTGTAAATATGTCCTTTCAATTAAAAGAGACAATTTCCTAAATCGGTTTAAAAATGACGAAGTTATGAGGTAACAAACATAAAAAAATGCGACCGAATTGAAACCCTTTAAGTAATGGATAGATATTTGTTATCCTTTCACGCGAAAACTACTAAACGGATTTAAATGAGACCTGAAACACGAGGAGGTTATATTATAACATAGCATAGAGAATACTTTGATTCATGCGAGCGAAGTTTCAGGATGCAACTAGTATAAAAATATAAAAATATTTATACTGTTGTCAGCGACACTGCCACTTTTCGAATATACTTAAAACATGACTACGATTTTCAAAAAAATAATGCGAGTTTAATGCTTGTTAATTAAAAAAAAATAATCGACAACATCGCTCGAGAATTTAATACTAAAATGATCTATGTATAAACTTATTTATTATCCAAAAATATGTATTTAAATTATTTAATTAACAATTAATTAAAATATATTATTATTATTAGGTTTGACGTCAAGCAGGCGGCCAATTGTAAAACTAGAAGCCAAATATTTTTGAAATATGAATAAAAAAAAACATATTACGTCGACCCCAAATAAAAATTAGGATAAAGTTAGAAAGACGATGATGTATTTAAAAAAAAAATTGAGCAATATTCGAGTCGCATACAACCACGTCGACTGTAAACACTTTTAACAAAGGATCGATGGCCCGTTTCTATTTTGTATAATAATAAAATTAAAGCGAAACTTAAACAGCACTTGCTGCCTACCTACCAAATTGTCTATGCTCAATAAGTACCTACAGCCATTGTAGCCAGGTACGTGTAGGTAGGTACCCACAACACGTTCGAGTTCCTCCATTATCCGGAGTACAAAGACCGCTGTGACATTCAACTATTGTTGTATTGTAATGCATTTTGAATAATATTATAATTTTACAATTTAAATACATACCGATTTATTTATACATACATAATATTGTTTAAGGCGTTTCTTTTTAACATATAATCACGCTTTGCCTTCAAGTTTGGATACCGTTATTGAAAACAACGAGAGATATATCCAGTTCAAACATGCGCCAATTTAGAATTCCCATTATTGCTTCCTATATATCCTAAGCTAATCCAACCCAGAATCGAATCCTGTAACTCGTTTACGTAAAGCAACGTGCCTATCACTGCACCACAGTGATATACCTAGATATAAAGCTACCTATTTAATTATCTTACATGTAATTTATTACACTTTAAATAATACAAACTTAGTTATTAAGTAGGTAATAATTAAACTAAATAGTATAAAGATAACTAGCTAACATGTACACTTATGAAAAATAAAAACTAGATATTTAAAAAGTTATTAAATAAAGAATACCTAAATCAAACATACGAAACGAGGCGAAAGAATCTATATTTTACAGCTATGTGAATCCGCATGGGCCACTTCGGAACCCGTTTCCAACGTACAGTATCAATGAACTTCAAAACGGTAAACCTACCCGCAAAATTAATATATCCAATAACCGCTCAACAGTACACACTTGTACTGTAATATTTACATTCGAATGATTATGATTGGTATTTTAAAAACTTTCTTAATTACCTGATAAGTCCGTATGCTTGGGATCAATTTGTGCGGCGGTTGCGACGACCAGCGCAATCAGCAACGCCGCTCCAGCGGCCTGCATCTTCACACAACACACATCAACATAAAACACTCACTGGCAACAACAAAACAACAGCACACACAATCGACGTGCGAAAGTTAGGAAAGTTTTATTATATGCACGAGGTCAGATATGGACGTTTGAACGACACGAGCGCGGGTTTGCGACTAGAGCGCGACTAGCGCACGCCGGCCGGCACACGGTGGGGTGGCCATGTGCCCATTGAAGCCTTCCACTGTGGGGAAAATATATATCATAGCCGACTACGAAGTTTTTCTTGTATATTACACTTATATCTTCGACAGTTTTGAACCGATTTTGAATATTTTTTTTTGTATAAAACTTAGAACGGCAAACAAGCTGACTGCCCACCTGATGGAAAGTGGTAACCGTCGCCTATAGACATGAGCAGTACCATGAACATAACAGAGTATAGTGTTTCGCCCATGATATCCCCCATGCGTTATTTTAGAATTTTTTTTTAATCAAAATTGAAACATGTTATCTACTATTATAATTATAACCAAACAATACTACTTACTAATTCACTTAAGCACAAAGCAATTTTGGCAATAGGAGCATGCATTATCCTCTGAACAATACCCACATCCAATTTATTAATATGAAATGTTTTTAAAAACGTTTCCCTTTCCCTTCGATTCCTATTACATTCCATCAATAGGTGCTTATTTTGAATACAAACACACAAATATACAGATGTCGTTTAGTTGCAATTTTATTATTTTATCATATACAATAAGAATATTAACAAAAAATCAATTCAAAAATATTTTTTATTATTGTTAGTATTTTAAAATTTGACTTAATCGGACAGATACTTTTATTACTCACTAGCTACTTGTCCCGGCTTCACACCCCTTTTTAACGTACCATTTCAATTATTCAAACTATTTCTTTCAGGTGTTTGTAATTATCAGGACAAGATTTGTAACCTTTTCCTGACAATTATAAACATAACAAAAAAATTCGCCAAATTTGTCAGATTCAAACTCCAACTCAATATGACAGGTATTTTTTAATATTCTATTACAAGTAATTTCATCAAAAAAATCTGATGAAATAATTGATTATATCTCTATTTGTTATTATGTATTAAAGGATCCAGTTAAAATAGACAAGATACGAAATATTCAAATTGTAAATCTATTAATTTGTATGTCAAAGTAAAGGGAAAATAAATAAAATAATCAAGTGTAAGATGATAATGATGATAAAGCAATCAATTGTTTTCTAGATAGTCTTTATTTTTTTCCTCCAAAAGATTACAATAGTAAACTTATTATTTTATTTATAAATATAAACAATTACAAGAAATAATCACAATGAAAAAACAATGGGCGGCCTTATCGCTAAGAGCGATCTCTTCCAGGCAACCTTTGGATGGAGAGGAGTAATTATAAACAATTTGGTGGGAGGCATGATGAAAAATTTTGTCAGTTCTAAATATGGGAGATGTGATTCATGTAATAATATAAATATTATCCATACTCATTATTATTGTTTATTGTATATTGTTTATTTATCAAGCTATTTTAACAAGAAATTAAAAAATAATGTGGTACAAAGCGCAGTATTTTTTAAGTATTTTTCTACCTTTGAAACAGGATATTTACAGCAAAAATTTTTGGACCTCCATACTAAACAGACTGCGTAACTGTCAAGTTATTATAGCAGATTCTACAATCTTTTTTCTTTTTATTTTCCACTGACCTTTGCCATCATAAAATTCTCCCGTGAGCGCGGGAGCCGTAAATAGCTGGCAACCCTATTCACACAGGTGGTTGGCAGGTAGCGGCTAGCGGAGCGGACGACACGTCGCGTCGCATCGCTTGCTCCGTCTCTGAACATGTCTACATAGTTTTTTTTTAATTAAAAATGCGTACTTGCATTCAACTTTTTTTATTTGCTGACTAGTTTTTAGCTAATTCTACTGCATGTCTCGGATATATTTTTTGATCTTGATAAAAAAATAGCCAGGGTTTTGTCCATCTTCATCCCATATAGGACTTGTTTAGCAAATTTTATAGCATTTGCTTAAACAAGTAAGACACTGAGAATAAAACAAACTTACTTTCACTTATTTAGGATTGCATTGATAGGTTTACTTTACTATATGACTCAAAATACCTGTTGCTGGTGGAAAGGGATTATTAGTGATGCGGGCTACCAGTCCCATTGCTAGCAATATACCCTATCAGGTCGACCTCCATGTGGTTCTGGACATCATGGTTAATCATTAATGAATTCGCCATGACGGGCCAACTAACCTGATTCATCCTCACCTATCACCCCTCACTGGTGCCCCGCCAGCGTATACCGATAGCGCGGTCGGGGTTACCATTCCATTATCACCCATTAAAAAACTGTATCTATTGCTTAGATCCCACTTTACCTCTATAGTTACTTTTATTCTTTTTTTTAGTATTTTTTTTTTTATATTTATCCACTGAATTAACAGGACATAATACTTCCTGATAATGTGCAAACAAGAGAAATTCCTTGATGTACTTTACTTACATACATATCTGTCACGCCTGTCTTCCATTAGGGCAGGCAGAAACAATGGAACTCCAAAAAATGCTTCTATGATGTACTTTATTCCGTAAAAAATAACAATATAATAGCTACCACGAGACCATACAATCATAACTATTGCGGTATTTAAGATTATATCACAAGGAGGGCCTGACTCCCTAAAAAAAGCACGTTACATACCCTTAATGTCTACCGTGTTTTGCTGTGTGGTCCCGGTAAAGAAATGGCCGTTCCTTACTTTGCCGTGAGTGCCGACAAGTCTTGGCTTAGGCACTGTTATATCTGCGTATAAAAACATTGTGTTCCTTAAAAATGAATAAATGGTTTATTATATTTTATTAACGTCTACTTCAATTGTAGCAAACCTATTTATTTTTATTTAAAAACTAAAGCACTGAACAGATTTTGATAAAGTATCCAAATCGGTTTACAGCTAACGGAGTTCTGAGGTAACAAACGTAAAAATAAAAATACAAATGAATTGAAAACCTTCTTTTGAAGTCGGTTAAAAAGAGAAAAGACACAATGGAAAGAGAATTGGTACCGATGAGAGATGATAGGTGACAATAAAAGCATGTCAGTCGGCCCATAGAGGCGAATTCCGAAAGAATAAACCAACATGACGTCCAAAGGGAACCACATGAAGATTTATATAACCTAATAGGGTATATTACTCCACGTGGTTCCATCTGGAAACCATCGTGAACAATTCTTGTTGAATTCGTCACGATGGGCTAACTGACCTGCTTCATCCTCATCTATCATCCTTCACTGGTGCCCCGCCGGTGTATACTGATAGCGCGGGTGGAGTTACCATTCCATTATCACCCATTTAAAAAAAACCATTTATTGCACGAATATGGGTACATACATTAGATGAAAATAATAATTACATGTCCATTTAGGGTACTGTATGTCCAAATAGGCTATATTACTAGCAATGGAGCAGTTAGATCCCCCATTGCTAACATTTCCTTTCCCCCCAGTCGTCTATAGTTAGTAGCCATAAAAATTAAGTATATTAATAGATGTTCATAGGTAACGATAGCCGCTTTCCATCAGGTAGATATATATTAGCTCAAACAGTGTCCTGAAGACAATTGCTGATAAAATGGACTGTCCCATCCTAAAATATTGGGTGGGACAGGTTATCAATGCAAGAGCGTAATGACCGCTCATTTACTAACATAGGTTAAGTCAATGAATGAATGTGGAAGAAGCGAAAGAGGTTTGTTTGAATCGAAGCATTTGGCGTTCCATTGTTTCTGCCTACCCTAATGGGAGACAGGCGTGACAGATATGTATGTATGTATGTTAAGTCAATTAATAACTAACAAAATGGGCCTTATGTAGTTTGAGTAAATAAATATTATTATCTAATATATAAAATTCTCGTGTCGCGGTGTTTGTTACCAAACTCCTCCGAAACGGCTTTACCGATATTTATGACATTTTGTGTGCATATTGGGTAGGTCTGAGAATCGGACAACATCTATTTTTCATACCCCTCAATGATAGGGGTGACCCACGCCTAAATATTTTTTTTCAATTTTTTTTTGTCATTTCTTTTTATTTTTATTTTATCATGATTTAGCATTGAAAAATACATACAAATTCAAATTTTTACGCTTTTACAGTCAAGCCCTGTTGTTTAATTGCAATTTTTATATGCCACAATAGGTTTGCAAGATGACAATCGAATATAATAATTGTAGTATAATATATTTTCATGTATAGTTCTAGAAATAATGTATATGGTAAAACAACGTTTACCGAGTCAGCTGGTTATTTATTTGCATTACTTACAGCACACAAATAACAACAGGCATACACAGTAAAAAGAAATAGAATGCATGTACATAAAAAGTAAAATATATTAAACAAGTAACAATTTAGAAACATCTATAATGTTTCCTCCTATTATTGTACGCATACTGCCCGCTAATAATTAATGCTCCTTTCCACTCAGGGTTTGCTGGAAGAGAACTTTTACAGAGTTAAGCTCGCCTGTTGTACATCTTTATTATATATATATATATATATATAATTTTCTGTGTACAATAAAGAATAAATTAATAAATTTCATATCTTTCATGCGTGTGCCATTACTATTATTATTCCAGCCGATAATTTACCCCGCTGAACATAAACTTTCACCATAAAGAGAGTTTTGCCAGTAATTGCCACGCTTGGCAGCCGGGTTGGCAACCGTAGTTAGGCTTTTAGAGATGTTTTAAGAAGGACGCTGCTGCCCATCCCTCGCCGTCCCTTAGTCGTCTCTTACGACACCCACGGGAAAGGAAGAGGTGGCTTATTTTATGCCGGGACCACACGGCGTGTGCCATAATAACACAAAATGGTCACAATTCATGGACAATCAGACGGGCCTGACTGTTTCCCTCTCTAACAATAAAAAAGTATTAAAGTTTATAGATTTGTAATTCTACATTTTGCATTTTATACAAAATCTCCCTCACCAGAGGGAGACTATTGTACAAAAGTCGATTGCTTGGGCACTGTTCAGTGTGTTTCTACCGATGAAGCAGTTGTGTTTGCATGAAGCAGGCTGTGTTTCGGTTTGAAGGGTGGGATATGGTGTGAATTTACAGGGTACAGAGGAATAACACCTGCGTTCTCAGGAATAGCAACGCATAGGGGGTATTATGAGCGAAACAGTATACTCTGTTATGTCCATGGTACTGCTCATGTCTGTAGGCGACGGTTATCACTTTCTATCAGATGGGCCGTCAGCTTGTTTGCCATTCTAAGTTGTATAAAAAAAAATTGTAATTTCAAAAAGCTAGAATAAAATTTTTATATAAATTTTATTTTGTCATATTTAAATTAAACGTTTTAGGCGCTATCAAATCTACCTATGTCAGATATATCATCTAAGAGTCTCAATTTAATTCTACGATTCCCAAGGTGAATTTACGACTTATAGGTTTTTAATTCATTAGTTTTCCTCAAGTCAACTGGTACTACCAAGCACAGCCATCGTCTGATCAATGACGACTCGACGTAAGTAATAAGGAAAAACCATGCATTGATATCGTGTATCAACTTGTAGCAAACCTGATATAATACGGCCATGAACGAAAAACTCCCCGCAGGCGACCTCTAATGGTTAATTTGAACGTGAACTTGAACTCAGTTGATGCATTATACCAAAGTTCAGTGACAACAGTTCAATTCCCGTGACAATTTGTACTTTCTTTTTCCCTTTCTCTCGGTACTTATTTACTATTTAGTCCAGGTTGTCTGTAAGAGTTTGCATTTAGCAATAAGGCCGCCTTTTGTATATTTTTTTTTATACAACTTAGAATGGCAAACAAGCTGACGGCCCACCTGATGGAAAGTGGTAACCGTCGCCTATACACATGGAGCAGTACCAAGGACATAACAGACTATACTGTTTCGCCCATGATACCCCCCATGCGTTGCCATTCCTGAGGACTCAGGGGTTATTCCTCTGTACCCAGTAAATTCACGCCATATCCCACCCTTCAAATTGAAACACAGCCATGCAAACACAGCTGCTTCACGGTAGAAACACGAATGGGACAGAGGTACCCAAGCAATCGACTTTTGTACAAAATCTCCCTTTGGTGTATGTACGGTGGAATTATTTATCTCACAGAGTTTCAAAAAAGTCCGCGATTTCATACATCTATTGTTTATGTGGAAATCAGTACATGTGTAATTAAAATTGTGATATAACAAAATATATATAGTATTTTTTTTCGTTGGATGAAAATGGATTGGTAACCCCGCCTGCGCTAACGGGATACGCTGGCGGAGCACCAGTGAAGGCTGATAGATGAGAATGAAAACAGGCCAGTTAGCCCATCATGATGAATTCATCAGGAATTAACCATGATGGTTTCCAGGGAGAACCGCGAGGAGGTCGACCTGGTTGGGTATATTGCTGATGGGATTCTCAGTCTCCATTACTAACAATCCCTTTCCCCCCTATATGTAATATTGTTCTCTAATAATATTTAGTAGAACATGAATAAGTGAGCTGCGTGGTTCGTGGTGCAGATATAAATTTAATGCGTTTAAAGGACAAGGAAGTAATTAATCAGACTGCTTTTTATCGAAAACCCGGACGGAGTCGTGAGCAAAAAAATAGCTAATACCCTCTAGTAATAAGTTAGTATTTTTAAAACCTAATGAACTCCGTAGAAGCTTAATGGCTTGAAACAAACATTTTTTTTTTTTAATGTATTGCTGTTTGTAAAATAATAAAAGCTTAATACGTTATACTCTCTATAAAGCGGTACTCGTCTCTTTGGAGGGTTGGGAAAGGGGGGGGGGGGGGGTGTTAGGAATGCGAACTACAAATCCCATTGCTAGCATTATACCCTGTCAAGTCGAGCTCCACATAGTCCCCCTTGGAAACCATCTTGTTGACATCCAGGTATATTCATCACTATGAGCTAATTGACCTGCCTTTTCATTCTCATCTATCATCCTCACTGGTGCTACCGTTAGGAGAAGGGATTGTTACCATTAATGCATCATCCATAAAAAAAACCTCACCATTACTATCAATAGGTTCTTTTTTATACAACAAAGAATGGCAAACAAGCTGACGGCCCACCTGATGGAAAGTGGTAACCGTCTCCTATAGACATGAGCAGTACTATGGCCATAACAGAGTATATTCATCACCATGACTCTCTAATTGCCATTCCTGAGGCCTTTTCATTCTCATCTATAATTCACGCCATATCCCACCCTTCAAACCGAAGACAGCCATGCAAACACAACTGCTTCACGGTAGAAACACGAATGGGACAGAGGTACCCAAGCAATCGACTGGTATACAATTAGCGCAGAAGGAGTTACTATTCCATTATCATCCATTAAATAAAAGCACCAGAAATTCAACGGGTACCACAGTAGATCGATCTGATGATTACTGGTAATAAAGTGATTACACTCAATAACTAACAATGTTTTCCCCTTTTTAAAACTGTTGACACATTTTTCACAGTCACAGAACAGAAACGACTTTTTTCTGAAGAGCAAGCAATTACAGTACCTATTTATTTTGACTCAAAATTCCTTCTTCTAATCGAATTAATAAAATATAGAACAAAATTAGAAATATTTGTAATGTGTCGATTTAAATGTGACAAGCGCTCCCATCCCTGCTACTAACTTTTCGTAGATTTGTACAGAAAGAGAATGTTAGATACTAAGGTCTAAGAACCAGTTAGGTTTAAATACTGTTTTTAATCTATGTCAAACTTAGAAATTGTCTATCTGACTCCGAAATCTTTAATTCTTAATCTGACTATATTTGTCAATGTCAAAAAACACTGATGTCATCAAAGATTTTGTAATTCCTTGTTCTTAGAATGTCATTCTCAGATAAATTATTTTTAATGTTTACAATATTTTGGGTAATTATCTTAGGTCTCAACAATATTAATTTTGTACACGTTTCGCAAAACTACGGCAACACTGATTAAATGTCAATGTCAAAACTATCGGAATGTTATCCGTGACGCCGCCCTCCCCTCATTGAATAGATTTTTCAGTCATAGTTTTATTTTATTATTATATTTTTATTGTAAACAAGAATTTAAATATGATATCATTAACAAGTATTGCACTATATGCATGCGCCTAAATTCAATTAATTACAACATGGCGGCTCTGGAACAACCCGACCTGTTGTTTTTCGACACATTTTCACACGACACCAGTGAGGTTGGTAAAATTCGTCCAAAAATATTATGAAAACAACATCCTAAATTATTAATGTTATAATTTCCAACTGCGACTACCTTCCAGGAGCTGAATTTAGACCTCGTCCAGTTCCCAAAATCTGTGTTTGTGCGAGAGATTCGTATAATTCCGTTGGGTGCAAGAGTTGAGGGGGATTTTCCTGGCGGTGTTCGCTTGGGGGCGACAAATCCAACAAAGTTCCACATAGATTTCTTCGTAAATGACTTGAGCAAACCTGGTGCGTCGACGTTCGAGGCTCTTGGCAGTATAGATTATTGTCAGAATGGCCAGATTCACATGGAATGTGGAAACGGACACGATCAACCACGGATACCTACTGACGGCTTAGTGCTTAGAGGTTAGTTGACTTTTTGTAGTATTATATTTCATATAATGATATTAAGACCACAATTAAATCATTTTTATTAATTATCCGATTGGCATGTCTAAATAAAACATGATTTAATTGTTTTGCAAACACCCAAATTGAACCACTGATTATTCCGTACATTGTAGATCGATCTTTTTGACTGACTTCAAAAAGAAAGGAGTTCTCATTTCAATTACATTTTTTTATATTTGTTACCTTTCGGGGGCCAACTACATACTCTTTTGTTGCAATATATGTAGTATATTCCTAATGCTCCTCAAATATTGCGCCTAAACTGCGCCCATCATGCACCCTCTTGTATAGGCATTCCGTCACCCGTATCCAATAGAGAGGATGGGATGCCTTAAATACTGTACTGCAAATCATAAAAAAAACCTCATAACTCCATCAGTTGTTAACTGATCTGGAAAAGTCCTTTTTTTATCTGAAAGGATATACTTCCAGAATAGACCTATAAATGTTTTATCAAAATCAGTTTAGTAATTTAATTTTTAGACGAAAATAACTTGTTTTGTCATCAAACATAATGTTTAAGTTCTGAATGTGCTATTTGTTTTCTTACATTTTTGATTACTTGCCATCATTCTCTCATGTCTTACGATTATCACTAATTATTGTGATTTAATATTTATCATATTTAAAATGGCAAACAAGCTGACAGTCCATCTAATGGAAAATCTATAGCCTGTACACACTAAGAGCTTCAAAAACTACTTCACAGCAGAAACAAATGGAACAGGGGAGATGACTTTTGTACAAAGCAATGGCGTAACAATAGGGTGGCAGGGCTGGCAAAATGCCACAGGCCCACAACCTAAAAGAGCCTCTTTGCTCAAGAGGTTGCAAGCTCAGAAATATATATATATATATATATATATATATATATATATATATATATATATATATATATATATATATATATATATACAAACTTTTTTTTTACATTGTACCTGAGTATTTTATTTTACACAGTGCCCAAATGGTATAGTTACACCACGGGTACAAAGTCTCCCTCTGGTATCTACCTCACCATCCTGCTCATTTACTACTAACCATTTATGTATGTGATTCCCTATGGTCTGGATCTTAATTATACACAAAGACTTTTGATGTAAAAATTTCAATTAAAAAATCTATCAAATAAATATAATCACAAAAAAAAAATACATTTTGTTTGTCATGTTCTATCATACATATTCTATAACTAATCCTTATTCTATCAACATTTCCCTGTATTTTTTATTTGCAAAATTCCCTAAAGTTGAGATGAATATTATTAAAGAAACAAAATATAGTATGGAACCTTTAGTTTAGCTTAATTTTTAGCCAAAACAACATACATGTTTTATTTCTATTCTGTTTTATATTACATTCTTATGTAATATTACCATACTGTAATCAAATAAAGAAATTTTATAGCAAATAATTTTGTTTTTCCTCCTTATTTGTATAACCTATATGATATAATATACCTGTTGTTATAAAAAATTCAAATAATGAATATTCATGTCCACATATGCGAAGAGATATCAACAATCGAAGAGACAAACCATTTTTTTGCAACATCAAACAAACTGATGGTACCTAACCAAGAATTATATGTATTGCCTTTCCATTCATTAAAAATATTTGTGCCTAGGGTTTCAACATTAAAATTAAATAAGTAATAAATAACTTGGCTTCTCTCTGTCATGGCATCCTATATTAAAGTGCATATTCATTTTAAAACAGTTTTTTTTTATTACAAGGAAAACTTCTTTAAGCGTGCAAAAGCACATTCAAATCGTATCCCACGCTTTAAAACGGAACAAAGGCTTGCAAACACTAGAACATTTTTGAACTGCAGAACAAACCTAAATCACCACTGTGTCATAAATGAAATTAATGCCAAATTACCTGAAATTGATATAGAATACAGGAATAAATTGCTGAAATGTACAACAATATATGGATGAACCTAATTGTCATAATATATATTTTTTTAATATTTTTTTTTATTTAATTCACTCATAATCCTTTTTTCTGATATTGTCACAACTTAGATTATGTTTATTTTTGTGTTTTTGTTTAATGATATCATGTGCATTAATATTGTACTGTATTTAATGTTGTTATACCTATATGTTATAATGCAATATGCTGTTGGTGTTCCTTAAATAAATAAATAAAATAAATAAAGAATACCTAACCAAGAATTATATGTATTGCTTATCCATTCATATTCCTTTTCACTAAATTCTCTTCGAATTACCATAAAACAGTTGAAAAATTGTAAAAACCACAATAGTTTTGAACGAGTAAACACCACTGTGCAAATGAACCCGGAGAATGTAATGTCTATATGGATGAACCTTTTTTTAGTATGCTGATTGTCAGTAGAGTGTTTTTGTTTAATGATATCACATTATAATGCGTTAGATCGATATAGAAATAGTTTTAGGCACATCAAAACAAAGTACTATAACATTGCCCCACAGCGGGAGCTTGCCAGATGCGCTGTTCTTTTTCCAGAAATGTATAAAATGACGGCCGCCACTTGAAGGGATAATAGAGAACTTGGTTTCCTTTGTCTACCCAACAAGCAACTCATTGTAAAAATAGACTATTTTGAAATCTTTGATATTATTAATGATTACGAGTGTTACGAATGCCATGTTACATTTTAGTAATAATTATCATTATTCTATTATTTTTCCCCAGGATGGTACACAACTATCACATTGGCTGTTTACGGGACCCTAACGCAAATCATACCAGAGTCTCCAGTTGGCTCCAATCCTCCACCAAACATACAAAGACCTTCAATCGCTCGAGAGGTCGCACCGGTGCAAACGACGAATATACCACAACAGGGTGATTGGAACCAGGAGGGTTCCAATCCAATCCCGTCTTATACTGGCAATGTTGCATCAAGCAATCCTGACTCGTATGGTCCAAATAATTATCCTCCAGATAATTATGACAATCAGATGTACCGAAATGAGTATTATGACAACGAGCCGCCAAAAGATCCAAGGTCATATCATCATATGGATGATAATGAATGGGAAAAAGATCGCGGGGATATTAGCTGTGAAAGAGATGGTGATCGTTTAAGACATAGTCCTCGCTCGATTGATCATGATAGGGATAGGGACAGAAGAGATGGGAGAAGCCGGAGACGATCTCTCGACCGAGGGCGAAGTCGCGAATCTTCTAGGCACCGTGATCGCAGTAGGGAACTGGACAGAATGGAACGCCTCCACTCAAGATCTCGTAGTAGGGATAGAGACTTTGTGGTCAAAGGAGAGTACCGCCCACTCAGCCGATCAAGATCTCGTAGCATCGATAGAGATAGGATGAGAGGTGTGTCTGCAGATCGTGATTGGGACAGAGGTCCATATAAGAAGGATGAATACCGACGTCATCGTGACATTTCTTATGATCGGTCACGTGGTGGGTCTTATGAGAAAGATTCCGGATCCTACGAACGCAGATCACCATACGACAAGAGGGCACCATCTTATGAAAGAAAGATGGCTTATGAGAAACGTGGGCCGTCGTATGAAAAGAGATTGTCACCTTATGACAAGCGTGGATCCTCTTACGAACGACGGGCGCCTTCTTACGAAAAACAAACCTCATATGACAGGAAAAGACATTCTTCTCCTTACGGTAGAATGAGAGGATCTAGTTATGGGAGTAGATCACCAAGTCGAGATGATATCAGGAAAAAGCCTCGAACTCCACCAGGAGAGATTAGTCGACGACCTTTGTCTCCCAGAGAAGGGGATGTTTCAAGCCCTATTAATTCAATCAGATCCGAAGATGGCGGCGAATATGATAGAAGCAGTAAACAGATACCTCGAGTGGAGTTCTACCATCAAAATTACAGACACAAAAGTTCTATTAGAAGCCCATCACAAGAAGTGGAAAATCCTCCTTACGTTGAACAACAACACTCCAGTCTGGTCACTGTTCCAATTGTGGATAACGCATCTGTTCCGAAGATAATTGAATCGCCAATCCGTAATCTCGATGAAGATAGATCTATGGATGCAGAGCAATTTGAACCAATCTTGTCTGACGAAGATATTTGTGATGATAGTGAAGTACCTTATATAGAAGAAGAAATGTATGATGTAAATGATTATTGTGGTGCTGACGACATTATAAAATATTATAATCCATTCAAAGATGATTGGAATAGGTATGAGTACATAAATAAAATTCAGTTGCTTGCAGTAAAAAAGAATGAAGATTCCAAGGATGTTCTGAATGCTACTTTCAGTGATCTGTGTGATGCTAGCCCTGATTTATTCAAGATATGGGATATAACCAAAACAGCTAAAAAGAGGGAGCAAAAGTTTTTCTCTAACACATTTACAGAGATCGATAACGCGTCCAGGGAAGAGTGGGTGCACCAATGCGAGAAATTGTTTTTACCTTTAACAAATCTCTGCAAAAATACTGATATTATATTAAGAATTTTTCAGAATTCTAACAAGGATGACAATGAGTTTGTTGATGTTTATAATTTACTACTTACATTCTGTAAAATTGGCTTGAATTTTGATTTTGCTTTAGCACAACAACAGCCCACATACAAAATAAGACACATGAAATGCGGTATTCGTTTGGCCGAAGCTCTAATGTCACATAAACATAATGATCAAGTTATTAAAATCCTGCTAAATATGGGGATAGATATGCCGATGTTATTGCTTGATATATATTCAAAAGAATATATGGCTTTGAGTATTAGACTCATGATTCTAAAAGCATTGAATGCTTGCTTGTCATCTAAAGAGTCAGTTGAACATTTCATGCAGAAAGCTGTTTTCCCTAAATTTGATAAAAATGAAAGTGACAATGATAGAAAACCGAAAAATGGATATCAGGCTCTTATATCTATAATGCAGACTAATCCTTCAGCGCGGATCAAATTCTCAATCAGTGCATTGATAAAAAAACTTAATATGTACGAGTTACTGGGAAAACTTCATGATTTAGTTCTGAACTTTAACAAGAAAGCCGCAGAAAATAACCAGAACGAAGATGCAGAACTTACCGAGAATGATACAGAATTTATTATTAACGCACTGGAAGAGATTCTTTATATGTATCGTACGCAGTGTTTTCATATATCGCAGCCGAAGCGGTTCCTCCCAGCTTCTGCGCAATTCGATATTAATAAAGAGTGCTCAAATGAAATTCTTCTCGAATTTTTCAATATACACCATATATTAGAAGTGTGCCTCTATTTACTGACTTGTCCAACAACTTGCAACAACTTAGTGGTCATAAGTCCCATCCACGACTTGATATACGAATTAGTCAATTCTCACAATGGTCTTAACTTTTTGTATGAAAATATGAAAATGAGCGAACTTCTTTTTAAGACTTTAGCACAACCTTATGGCCAACAAAACGCTGACGAGTTTATTTATCCACATGATTTAAGCAATTACAGCGATTTACAAATATTGGGTCTAGAAATGGCTTATAGACTAAAAGCCTTATATTATTTGCAATCCATCTGTGACTTGCAGGCTGGGAAAACAGATGAGAATGAATTAATAGATAGATTGCAATCATTATACTGTCTTAGCTTTGGGAGCATTGGAAAGACTGCTGTACCTGATGTTATCGTTATGGAAGACAATGCTGAATGTCTTATGGAAGTTTTTGAAAACGATATGAAGGCAAAGAATAAGAACGAATCACAACTTAAACAAAAGTCTCCAGCTAAAGCTTACGCTATTGAACTCATTGTATCGGTGGTACGCTTCTCAGCAAATGTTCCATTTTTAAAAAAATATGGGCAACGACTCCTATGCGTATCGAAAGAACATGACAGATTTGAGCCCAGTGTATCAAGCGTTTTGCAGGAAGTGGTCCCTTATTTGAAACCGATAGAAAAATTGAGTCTTCTGTCAGGTGATGACATGGCTGAATGTGTTGAGATCTTGAAAACCAGTCTGGAACACACGCCAGACTTACCTGGAGAGCTTATGACTTGCTTGAGAATCCTGCGTCATTTTTCTATATCGGATTATGACAACAATTTAACAGTCAACTGTGAATCTGCCACTGAAGAATACATCGAGCTTAAATACAAGTATAATGTTCTACAACTCTTCTCACTAGATGGTGTTGCACATTTAGCTGCTATATTAGACCGCTTGGCAGTGCATTTCGAACAACCAAACATGCATACGTCGTTCTTTGCTTCTGCAAAAGGTTTGCAGCTAGCGCAAATAATGCTTCCTTGTCTAAGACTTTTAGACGAAATGTTGGCTAGAGTAGTTCGTTGTCGTGGCCCAAGATTTCGAGATCTTACCGCAGCACCCATATTATTAAAGAGTTATGGTATTGCAAAAGCATATCCAGTAGGATCTGTAGGCTACAGAACTGCGGCGAAGGCCGCTGAAGCTGCTGTTCGAGCACTACTTGCTTACGCTCAACCTATTGCAGATGATGCAAACGATGGAGATTCTATACGGCGCGGTCCGTGGACATCCCTTTGCTCTGAAGTGATATCGTACACTATGACTGCGCCATACACATTCGTTCCTGGTCTTCTTGTGTTCTCCGAACTCTTACCGTTACCTTTACCAATGCAATCGAAAACCCCACCAACTGAAAGAGAGTTGGCTGATGCCTCAAACGAAAGACGTCTATGGTCGGCCCATTTGCACGCTTTAGGGAACGATTTGACAGATATGATCCAGATAATATGTATGTCAACTTATAGACCAGTTGTCCATATGTTACGAAGAGTTTGTGTACAGATAGCCGATTTAGCGCCGAATACTGCTGCTATTGTCGCTAAAGCTGCTGTTGGTGCAGTAACAAGGGAATTGAAACCAGGCGAACCAGCGACAGCGAGTTGCGCCAGAGTGCTTGGTTTTCTAGCATGTTTAGTTTCACACGCGCCTGTGAAGTGTGCTGTTTTGCATACAATGAACAATGGTGGTCCTCGTTCTGCCGATGTTCAAACTGCTCTCTGTGGAGTGCTCAGTTTAGTTAATGCATGCAACGAGCACGCAGCCGCTCAAGAGTTTGCTGCACATGCATTGGCTGCTTTCTGTGATGCGGAAATTACTCTTACGCCGTTAAGCGCGGCTACCGATGTACTCCTTGCGAATTCTTTGCCGAATAAAGACGCCTTAGCGTCATTTTTGGATTCTACGGCAAATTGTTTGGAATCTACAAGCAAAACGTGTGCAGTGGCTTCTTCAATATTACGTGCATACTTCGTGCTAACAGAACATGAGTATGGTTTCCAACAGTTCAGAAAATTTGTGACCAAAAGGAGAGAATCTCTTGGAAACTATTTCAAATGGGCCCTGGAAGGTCCAGGGGAGGATAAAGCTGAATGCTTGAGCTTGTATATAGACCTGATCAGGATCTTGAAAGTGGAGGAAGGTGAAGGTCCTGTAGGAAGAAAATCGGCGTTGACAGTGAATGAACTGGCAGATATGGTGGGTTACTCACCATCAGAAGAAAATCATCCTGCTATGAACTTAGAGAAGATATTGAGGGTATGACATATTTTTATTACCTTCTCATATTAATTGTCAATGAAATTATAAAAAAAAAAAATCACTAAAATCTTTAGCAGACAAAATATTGAGAGTTAAAATAGAGGGAGACTTTGTACAAAAGTCGATTGCTTGGGTACCTCTGTCCCATTCGTGTTTCAACCGTGAAGCAGTTATGTTTGCATGGCTGTGTTTCGGTTGGAAGGTTCACGCCATATGTGGGATATGGCGTGAAGTTACAGGGTGCAGAGGAATAACACCTGAGTCCTCAGGAATGGCAATACATGGGGGGGTATCATGGGTGGAAACAGTATACTCTGTTATGTCCATGGTACTGCTCATGTCTATAGGCGACGGTTACCACTTTCCATCAGGTGGGCCGTCAACTTGGTTGTCATTCCAAGTTGTATAAAAAAAAAAAAAACTATTGTAATTCACTCCACATAAACTATATTACTCTCAGTAATAATTTATCTAAATTGTAAATACGAAATTTTTATTAACTTGACAGGATAGAAACGCGGACGATGACGCTTTAGCAAACGCCAGTTTCCTCACCACTCATCTGCAAAAGTTCAAAGTCACCGAGGAACCGGGAACACCTCCCACTGATCCTGCAGAGTCGGTTCTACCACCACCGGACACACTGGTGGCGCAGTTCGCGGCCAGGATCATATATTCCATAGGGGAAGCGAACGACGAGCGGCTGACGTCCAGCTACTGGCTCAACGTGCCGTCAGCTAGTGGAGACGACGATGTCAATGACAACGAACTGGTCAGTATACCAACTCTTCAGACGATGTCACCCGATCCTTTGAATACGACTCATAAATAAATTGCTAGAAAATGTTCTCTTTATAGTAGGCTTAACCCAAAAAAACCTACATACATACATACATAGGACCTTGATATTTTCTTTTTTTAATGGGTGATAATGAAATGGTAACCCCGCCCGCGCTATCGGTATACACCGGCGGGGCACCAGTGTAGGATGATAGGTGAGGATGAAGCAGGTCAGTTAGTCGTGACGAACTCAACAAGAATTGTTCACGATGGTTTCCAGGGGGAACCACGTGGAGGTCAACCTAATAAGGCATATTGCTAGCAATGGGGCTGTGTCACAACTCTATTGCTAACAATCCCTTTCCCCCTTCCCGATAGAATGTACTGTAACGTTTTGTTGTGAACAAGTGTGTCGGTTTCGGTCGGCGCAGGTGTCGTGCGACATTGTGGAGATAGCGTCGGCGTACCTGTCGGGCGGCGTGGGCGGCGCGGGCGGCGCGGCGGGCGGCGCGGAGGCGCTGGCGGGCGCCGTGCGCCGCCTGGCCGGCTGCGGCGCCCGCCCGCCGCCGCCGCCGCGCGACCAGCGCCCGCCGGGTCAGTTTCTTTATTCCATTTCAAAAGGGAATGTCGCGTACAGTAACAAGCGAATGATAGCAACACCGGACGTGCCCCAGGATCGGTCCGTCTACGTTACGATAAGGGAACAAAAACTGGCTGTATGTGTCAACGGACTTTAAAAATTTTGAGTGGATCAACACAACGGCTCTCTCGTCAAAATTTGTGTTAACTGTTAGCAATTATAATCAATTAATTCAAACTTGTTTAATATGAAATTGACTCTTTAACGATACAACGTACAACCCGCCATAAACTAAAATTTCATCCCAACCATCTGGACGAGTGGCGGTCCTCCACCGTGCGTTTTTCAAGGCACTTTCTCCCACGCACAACCACTCTTTGGAATCAACTTCCAGCAGCAGTATTTCCGAACCGATACAACATAACCTTCAAGAAAAGAGCATATTCCTTTTTAAAAGGCCGGCAGCACACCTGCAATGCCGTAAGTGTTGTGGGTGACCAGGGGCGGCGGTAGTCACTTACCATCAGGTGAGCCGCATGCTCGTTTGCCCCCTGTGTTGTAAAAAAAAATCTGTTGAAGACGTCGGCACGTACCAGGAAATCATACAGGGTTGACGTGGGACATCGTAAAACTGTAGGCCATTTAAAAAAAATTATGTTAATATTATCCAGTTGAAACATAACTCAACGCTCTCTAGATAAATTAATTGACGTTTGTAGTTTTAAAAAGGAAATATGGTGCCAAATGGGAACTGAATACAAGGATAGTTCAGGATTGAGAGTGGTCGTAATGATGGTTTCCAGGGGAGACCACGGGAAGATCGACCTGTACGAGGTTTGTCCGGAAAGTACGTATAAAAGTTTTTAAAAATTTTATTTTACAATTATTCAGGTAAATCAATTTTATCCCCTTCAAAGTACTCCCCCTGTGACATAATGCACTTGTGCCAACGCCGTTTCCACTGTGAGAAGGCTCCTTGAAAGTCCTCTGGTTGTAGGTTTCTCAGCTGCCCCGTCGTAGCTTTTTTTATCTCATTTATGTCCCCCAAATGCCGCCCCCGAAGTACCAATTTGGTTTTTGGGAACAAGAAGAAGTCACACGGGGCCAAATCCGGCGAATAGGGGGGGTGTTCGGTCACCGTAATGGAATTTTTACTCAAAAACTCACGGAACGATCTTGGCGCAAATTTTTTTCATTTGAAGTTCGTTTCTTAGAATTTCGTGGACCACGGTTTTGCCCAAATTAAGCTCTTCAGCCACCTGTCTGACCGTTAAACGACGGTCCCCATTAACACAAGTTCGAATTCTTTCCACGTTTTCGTCGGAATGTGAAGTGGAAGGACGTCCTGAACGTGGGTCATCTTGAACGCTTTCTCGGCCCTCTCTGAATCTTTTTAGCCACTTGTGGACGGTTGGTTCCTTCACAGCATCATCCCCATAAACTGTTCTGAGATCGGCAAAAATTTCACGGCCATTCTTGCCGAGTTTCGAGAGAAACTTGATTACGACGCGCTGCTCTTCAACGGAAGCGGGCTCCATGCCGACGGGGTTTCGTTAAGAGGTAACTTCACAGATGGCGTGACAAGCCAGTTCGCACCGCACGGCGGTCAGACCAGAACTGAAGCATTGTTAGGGACATAAGGAAGGGGTCCTGCGCTTACCTGGCCTCCCCACTCCTCTTTCTCGCATTCCAGAACACTTTTATACGAACTTTCCGGACAGACCTCGTATATTGTTTGCAATGGGACTGATAATCCGCATGACTAACAATCACTTACCCCCCTGACAGTGTATATTGTAATGGGGTTACTAATTCCCATTACTAAATATCCCTTCTCCCCCCTGTCTAATCTGATTGGTGAGTGGTATTAGAGTGGCGTGTGTTTGTGGTGGTCGGCAGGCGCGGTGGCGATGTCGCGCGTACGCGGCGAGGGCGGCGCGGACGCGTTCCGGTCGCGGCCGCCCAACACGTCGCGGCCGCCGTCGCTGCACGTGGACGACTTCACGGCGCTGCACCACGCGCCGCACCACGCGCACCACCACCACGCGCACCACCAGCCATACGCCGCGCCCGCCGCCGCGCTGCTCACCAGGTCGCTCACGTCACACCGGACATGAACAGTTGAACAGTCGTACCCCCCATGCGTTGCCATTCCTGAGGGCTCAGGTGTTATTCATCTGTACCCTGTAAATTCACGCCATATCCCACCTTCAAACCGAAACACAGCCATGCAAACACAACTGCTTCACGGTTGAAACACGAATAGGACAGAGGTACCCAAGTAATCGACTTTTGTACAAAGTCTCCCTCTGGTAATATCTATGTAGCGGAATCTGGGACGATATTGTCCAAGTAACCAGCGACAGATCGTGTGACATACAATCCTATACGTCATGGTACAATGGAGATATGACCTATACTTAGTAATCGATTCATTTTAATGGATGATAGAATGGTAGCCCCGCTTGTAATTGTACGCCAGTGAGGGATAATAGGTGATGATGAAAACAGGTCGGTTAGCCCATCGTGATGAATTCTACTAGAATTAACCACTATGGTTTCCAGGGGGAACCGCGTGGAGATCGACCTGATAAGGTGTATTACTGGTAATGGGTCAGTTAGACCCTATTACTAGCTAAAGTTATTACTAGTTAAAGGCTAGTTTGTTTCTAAGAATTGAAACAATGACACTTTCATAATTGTCTTATTATGAAATGTCTAGAGGGCCGAGGAGAGGCGGCGGCGCGGTCGGCGCGAGCGGCGCGGGCGGCGTGGGCGGCGCGGCCGGCGCCGGCGCGGCCGAGCGCGGCCGCTTCGTGGCGCCCGCGCCTCACTACCGCCACCTGTGAGTACGGGCTGCACTACACACAACCACTTTTTTTTATTCAACTTAGAATGGCAAACAAGCTGACGGCCCACCTGTTGGAACATGGTAACCGTCGCCTATAGACATGAGCAGTAGCATGGACATAACAGAGTATACTGTTTCGCCCATGCGTTGCCATCTGATATACCAACATGGCCACAAATTAAATGTTTATCTATTATATAATTTTGAAATCCAAAATGGTGAAGATTAATTTTTATCAACTATATATTAATACGTGAAGCAAAACTTTTGTACCCATTTTTACGAAAATTACTCGATTGAAGAAGTATGAAATTTCGCACACTTATAGTTTATATAGAGAATAGAACTGCAGAATGCTAATATTTTTTTTTAATTATTAATTATAATAAAAAAAAATTACACACTCTACCATGTATTTGACACACACACGCATTTATACTCTTTTGTTTATTGTTAGTCTGCGATCGAATTGATAATAAATTAATATTGTTTTCTCAAACATGCTTGGAAATGTGAGCATTATTTTGACAATCTTCTTCGAGATAAACTAAAATTGATGTACTGGCTAGATACATGCGGACAGCGGCCGGCAAAAGTATGAAAATCCATATCTATCGTGTTTTGCGGCCAGATAAATTACTATGTAAACTCATATCTGTCCTGTAATTTAAAAATAGAATGACCTTTTACTTCGAAACATGGCTACCAAGGAGGTAACTAATAAAAGGTTTTATTTAAATTTCGAACTGGCTTGCAAATAGAAAGCTGTTTATTGAAAAAAAAAACAAAAGGACATTATGGCGCGTGAAAAATTATTATTATTCGTTATTCGTCATTAAATTTAAAAAGTAAAATTGTGTTTTTGATTTTCGCGCATTGTTTGAGAAAAGTACTATACAAGCCTTGGCCACAACTAGGCATTGATGGACTCATATATGTATGCCTCGGCTACGCCTCGGCCCACATTTGCACGTTCGTCCATCAATACCTCAGTTGTTGGCCGCTGCAGTAATATACTGTTGTCTTTAATATTATTTGTCTATAGTCTTATTCAATGTCAAACATAACCATAATAAATGTATTTATTACAATATACGTTATGGTCGAATTTCGACCCCGTGGTCGAAATTCGACCGTCCCGTGACGACCACTAGTATTATTTAAAACAGATTTGTTTATATTAATAATGTATCTATACATATGTGTATGTATATATATATATTCATATGTAAATGTTGACCGTTCTCTGTGCCTGTTCCAGCCGTGGGCGGGGCGCGTGGGAGATGGGCGGTCAGCATTTCGGACACTTCGCCCCCACGTCGCAGTATATGATGGGTGAGCGAACATCGAGCTTCACTTTACTTGTTTAATTAAAATACATGTTATTATATTTAAGTTAAAATACAAGGAGGAGAAGGGATTGCTAGTAATGGGGACTAGTAGCCCCATTGCTAGCAATATACCCTGTCAGGTCGACCTCCTCGTGGTACCCCCTGGAAACCATCGTGATTGATTTATTATTAGATTCGTCACGGTGTGCTAACTGACCTGCTTTATCTTTTTTTTTATACAACTTAGAATGGCAAACAAGCTGATGGTCCACCTGATGGAAAGTGGTAACCGTCGCCTATAGACATGAGCAGTAGCATGGACATAACGGAGTATACTGTTTCGCCCATGATACCCCCATGCGTTACCATTCCTGAGGACTCAGGTGTTATTCCTCTGTACCCAGTAAATTCACGATATCCCACCCTTCAAACCGAAACACAGCCATGCAAACACAACTGCTTCATGGTTGAAACACAAATGGGACAGAGGTACCCAAGCAATCGACTTTTGTACCAAGTCTCCCTCTGGTTATCACTCCTTACTGGTGATACCATTCCATTATCAAAAAAAGTGAAAATAACCAAGAATAAACCAAAAATTCCAGTACAGTTTTTTGGTTAATTCGATAGTTTTAAATATCGCCAATTGTATACACCGAATTAAGAGTACTGGACTGTAATAATTAATTAAAAATCCATGAATGATATGAATATGTTGCACATTATATTTCCTTCAATCAAGACAGTAGCAATTTGACATAAACAGAAAATAATATAAAAATATCATGTGGCCAGTATCGAGTAAGAAAAATATATAAGCCCTTAAACACTGATAGATGACGTCATATTCTCCAAAGAGATTCCACGTGAAATAATAGTTAATTTCCGTTTCATCATCATCATCAACATATCAGCTATCAACTGTTCGCTGGTGAACACAGGGCTCCGCCATAAGATGGGGTTTGCTAATAGTTGCCACGCTTGGCAGGCGGATTGGCAATCGCAATTAGGCTTTAGAGATGTTTTAAAAGGACGCTGCTGCCCATCCCTCGACCTCCCATAGTCGCCTCTTACGACACCCATGGGAAAGGAAGGAGTAGCCTATAATACGCCGGGACCACAAGATCACTGCCGTATACCTTGAAACCGAAATAGCCATGCAAACACAATTGTTGAAACACCCATTATTTTTATATTATTTTACAGGCGGCATGGGCTGGGGCGGGGCACGAATGCAGCGTGGCCCCCGGCATCGTTCCTTCATGCGATAACTACATTCACTCCAGAGACAAGGTCCTAAACTATACGCAAGGAGAGATTTAGAAGCTCGCCTGTTGAGCGTAAATTAGCAATGTAATGTATGAATCCAATTTGTCTTAATAAATGTTAGATTGCAGCTTTTGGTACTTGATTTTCCTTACAATTTTTTTTTTTTTTTTTTATTTTTATTTATTTATTAATTAAAAATAATTATAGTATTATGATAGAAAAAGCCAAATCAATGTTGTAAACCTAGTGTGCTAACATACAAAATTATAATAAAGGTATTTAACCAGATATTTGTGAGCCTATCTTTGGCAGGCTACTACTAAAAATGTCAATATTTTTTATAATATTGTTTAAAAACTACAGCGTGAGTGGGGGGAAAGGAATGTTAGTAATGGAGACTGAGAATCCCATTGCTAGCAATATACCCAACCGGATCGACCTGCTCGCGGTTCCCCCTAGAAAGAGTGTATACCGATAACGCAGGCGGGGTTACCACTCCATTTGCACCTATTAAAACCTGCACCTATTTGGCTTGAATTTACTGGATACAGAGGAATAACACCTGAGTCCTCAGGAATGGCAACGCATGGGGGGTATCATGGGCGAAACTGTATACTCTGTTATGTCCATGGTACTGCTCATGTCTATAGGCGACGGTTACCACTTTCCATCAGGTGGGCCGTCAGCTTGTTTGCCATTCTAAGTTGTATAAAAAATATTAAAAGAAAACCGCCGTTAGGCTTTGATTGTTTGTTGTTTTATTAAGAGGGACACTGCTGCCCATCCCTCGACGTCCTCGAGTCCCCACGGTCGCCTCTTACGACACTCGCTAGAAAGGAAGCGGTAACTCATTCTCTGTTCAGCCTTTATTCAATATAATTAATAGGTATTCCACATTGAGGATTAAAAGAAACAACCGTAGAAAATTTAGAAACAAATCAAGTTTATTATCAAGATGAAAAAGATCAAATCATATATTTATTATACTATAAGCTTACGAAACAGATATGTAACAGCTGCTAGATCACAGAGACCGCACTAAACGTAACCCTTGCATTTATTATACCGTACTGCAAACGAACCTGGCTTCCATCAATACACAATGTGTCTCGAATATTATACATACATATATCAAATAATAAAAACAAACTATTATATTTATATATATATATATATATATATATATATATATATATATATATATATATATATATATATATATATATATATATATATATATATATATATATATATATACTTGCATCAACTAAACAGTAACGATGTAAAATTTACAATTAATAGTATTATTAATACTCCACCGAGAATTTCCCCATAGCGTTTTACTATAATTGTCTTTGTTTTATTTTTATTTTTTTTTTTAGTTAATTAAATGGTAAAACATCTCACTAGCATATGTTTATTTACAAGACCCTCCGAGGGCGTAGTCCGTTCATTGTATAAAATTATCACTCGCGACATGGCACGTGGCATGGCCGGGCGTGGCACACGTGGCCCACGTGGCCGGCGTGGCCCGGGTGGCCGAGGTGGCCGGGGTGGTCGCGCGGCCACTAGTCGCCGGGGTGCTCGGGGCACGATCTGTTCACTTCAAACCATTGGTCTATACATCTGGAATAGAAGAAATTTTAAATTTGTAAGTATTTATTTATTTATTTAACTCTTTATTGCACCATAAACAAAAATATACAATGACAAGTGAATAATTCAAGTGAAATACAGTAACATAAATACAGATTGAAATATACACAAAGGTACAAAAGGCGGTCTCATCATTAGGGCAATCTCTTACAGGCAACCTTTGGTTGAAGGAGAACAGATAGAAGTGGATAGGTGGCACAAGAGTATTCACTTTAATTTAAGCAATAATAAATATGATAGATTTAATGAACAATTAGGTGTACATTTTAGAATAGAGGGGCAAAAAAATAGTAGAAGAACAGCCATATCGATCGTTAACTGTCCACTGCTGAACATAGGCCAGCCCCAAAAGGGTCAATTTGCCAATACTAACCACACTTGGCAGGCGGGATAGCAATCGTTGTTAAGCTTTAGTGATACTTTAAGAGAGACGCTGCTGCCCTTCCCTCGACTAGTAAGTTACCTTAGTTGCCTCTTACGACAAACACGGGAAAAGTTGAGAGTCCATTCTATGTTGGATTAAACTATGTTTCGGTTTGAAGGGTGGGATATGGCGTGAATTTACTGGGTACGGAGGGAATAACACCTGAGAGAACTCAGGAATGGCAAATGGATGGGGTATCATGGGCGAGACAGTACTGTTATGTCCATGGTACTGCTCATGTCTATAGGCGACGGTTACCACTTTCCATCAGGTGGGCCGTCAGCTTGCTTGCCATTCAAAGTTGTATAAAAAAAATCCCACGTTTTAAATCAAAACAACAAGTGGAATAGAGGTACCCATACAATATACTCGCACAAAACTCTCTCATATTGCCATATTCCATCTGAAACGTAACATGACAGGTACCTACTACTCAAATTAGGTAAGTGGGTTTTATTTTGCATATGTGACAAGTGAATTAGGTTACGAGCACTCATGCAACTATCGCAAGCTCGTATCGAACAGGGGCATGTATGTGTGACCTAAATGCGGCCCTTTTGAAGATTATCGGCCCTCGATATGAGTACCTACCAGCACTTAGCCACTGCTGAGTTTATTTTTAAACCCGTTTGCAAAAACTAAGCAATTTTCTCGATAAGTGTATTTATTTTTAAAAGGCTGCTTTGTATACATGAAAACATAGATATCATTAAATTTTTATCTTGAATTCATCTATCACCATCATTATATCGGCCTTTTTTTTGGGTAGGCATAATAGGTTTATTTAATTTGATATGGGTCTCTGGACATATTGGGATTAAAGGTAATGAAAGGGCCGATGAGTTGGCGAGAAAGGGATCAGAATCAAAAATGATAGGTCCTGAATCATATGTTGCACTTGCATCAAGTGTTGTTAACTCTGCCCTTGAGGAGTATGTGAGGGAAAAAACAGCTAAAGAAATGGAGGAATTTGAAGGGTCTTAAACATTCTAAAAAGTTCTTAAATGACAATGTTGAAGGATGGGATAAGCTTATCTACAGCGGTGGCAGACAACAGGCAAGACTCATTATGGGTGCCCTAACTGGACATATGCCAATAAGGTATATACTACACAAGATGGGTTTATCTTCGGACACAGTGTACAGACTGTGCGGGGAGAAATCGGAATCCATGGAACACTTGATGTGCAACTGATTCGTTAGCAAGCATGTCCATGAGTCTACTGGGAGCGGCTTATCCAGAGCCAGAGGACTACAGATATCTTAAACCGCGGGATATCGTTAAGATAACACAAAGGATCAATGATGATGAAATGATGAAATGATGGTATAAGACAGGGGGAAGCACAAATGATCCCGATGGGTCGACGTTTTTTTTTTATCGAATGGCAATCGTGACGGCAACTGATGGAAAGTGGTAACCGTCGCCTATAGACATGAGCAGTACCATGGACATAACATATGCGCCCAATAAAGAGGACTCAGGTGTTAGATCATAATTCCTCTGTACCCAGTAAATTTACGCCATATCCCACCCTTCAAACCGAAACACAGCCATGCAAACACAACTGCTTTACGGTGGAAACACGAATGGGACAGAGGTACCCAAGCAACGGCTTAGCTGACCCCGTATGCAAATATATCATAAGCCTCCCCTTGGGGGGTTTTGCCAGTAGTTGCCACGCTTAACAGGCGGATTGGCAACCGCAGTTAGGTTTTGGAGATGTTTTAAGAGGAACGCTGCTGTCTATCCTCATCCTCCCGCACCACGTGAAGGTCGACCGGATAGGGTGTATTGCTGGCAATGGATCAGCTAGACCTCATGTATTGTATGTGTTATGAATACATACGTACCCTTTATGGTAGATGCAGAGGCATGGCAGGCGCGCGATAGTGTCTCCCGCTGACAGCTCCTCCAGGCAGATCACGCATTCCCCCTTCGAGTCGCTGAGCACGTCCTCTGAAAATTTTAATTAATAAATAACATTAGCGTTGATGGATAGCAGTTAACGGAAGACCATACAGTCTCATACATCCGTCCATTATAATAGAACTCAATGTAAAGGTCCTCAACCAAGACTTAGACTTTCAAATCTTTTTAAATCCCGTTTTTTATACCATAAAGGTGGCAAACAAGCATACAGCCCGTTTGATGGTAAATGGTCACTGTGGCCTAAGGACGTCTGCAACATTAGGGGAGTCACGGGCGCGTTGTCGACCCAGAAGGAACCTTAATATGCCCTTTTTGAAAAACCCCATACTGTAGTCTCTAGAGAAAACCTCAGCACGGAGCTCGTTCTACAGCCTGAGCGTTCGCGAGAGAAAATTTCTTTGAAACCGCACTGTACGTATCCATTTAGGTTCAAGCGTGTAAGGATGAATTCCCTGTCGATGGCGAGCGGTGCGATGACAAAAGGTGGCTGTAGGTATCATTTTAAACAATTCCTCAGAACGCAATCCGTTATTCCATTCATCAATCCATTATATATAATAATATTTATGTATTTAGACAACGTAAGGCCCATTTTGTTAGTTATATATTTACTTAACCTATGTTAGTAAACGAGAGGTCATGTAGCTCTTGATTTATTACATCAGCCTAAGCATTTCTAGAATTTCATAAAAAGAACATTCTGGTATTTTGCTGAACGAGCCGCGGACAACAACTAGTTAATTAATGAAGGTCACGTACAATATTATATCCATAACGACTAAATGCCCATTGTAATAGTTTCTATCGATTTCACATAAGCCATGGCCCCCCGCACCATTGAACACAGAGTTATTTACATACATAATGCGTACGCAATACAAACTATTATATATTACTGACGTTTTCTAGGAAACACTGTAGATTAAACCATTTATTAACATGTTTAGACGCACAAGGTTCCCTGTACGTTTAAATTATTTTTACGTCGTGTATGTTGCACGATACATCGAATTTTTTTACGAGAAATAATTCTTGTAAGAAGCTATTTACAGTGGGCCACTGCACTTTGGTTATGTTTTGTTAAGAGAGGGACTGGCTGAAAACCAGCGCTGTGCAGCTGTTCACATTGCGCTGGGACACTCACAGCATCCGCTGAGCCGGTTCCTTTTGCCTAGTACGGGACACTTGTATGTCATCTATATTTTATATTGTAATTGTATGTTTTCTGGCAATAAATATTTCTATTCTACTTCCCAAAATATGAACCAATTCATGTTTATTTTTGTATTCAATAGAATTAACTCCATATATGATATATGAGCTAATATCAGTATATTTTATTAACTCCATATATGATATATGATTTAATATCAGTATATTTTTTAATGAACATGGCATGGTAACCATTCCATTACCATCCATTAAACAAAAATGTGTCAAACAAAATCCTATTATTTATCAGAGGGAGACTTTGTACAAAAGTCGTTTGCTTGGGTACCTCTATCCCATTCGTGTTTCAACAGTAAAGCAATTGTGTTTGCATGTCTGTGTTTCGGTTTGAAGGGTGGGATATGGCGTGAATTTACAGGGTACAGAGGAATAACACCTGAGTCCTCAGGAATGGCAACGCATGGGAGGTATCATGGGCGAAACAGTATATTCTGTTATGTCCATGGTACTGCTCATGTCTATAGGCGACAGTTTCCGCTTTCCATCAGGTGGGCCGCCAGCTTGTTTGCCATTCTAAGTTGTATTAAAAAAAAAGTCGATTGCAAATAGAATTCCTAAAATCGGCAAAGAATTTGCGAGGAAATCCTGTACTATATAAAAAAGTACAGGCGAATTGAGTGGCCCGTTTCTAAATGAGTTACGTGAACTCTCTATATAAATTGTTGAACCTCAAGTTTCGTGTAAGTATGTATATATCTTAGTAGACCGCAGAGAAGTGTTTAACAAAATTAACTCATTAGTGTGCCAAACACGACTCGCAAAACTAGCAATAAATTAAGAGCCAAAGTCGTACTAAGTGTCCAGGCACGGAAAGGTAACACGGGCGTGACTTTGTTTATTCAATTATAACATTACAGTATTCGGGAATTTAGGTAATTGGATACAATTCTAATGTTGGAAGCGTGATGGTTTTTCTTTTACAGCTTAGAATGGCAAACAAGCTATCACTAAGCTACCATGGACATAACAGAGTATATTGTTGCGCCCATGATACCCGACTTAAGTTTACTTTTTGTTAAATATAATCTTTAATGATTTCCATTAAAGGTATGAATAAGGTACAAATGAAATACCGTATTTCCATTAAGTTAGCTGCATTAATTTAGCGTCTTATTCAGGTTCAATTTTCGACGCACTTGTAACTTATCCAATAACTTTTTTCTTTTATTTACAACTAGTTTCTTGTCAGTTACTTCGTACGCGTAGATTTTAGAAGTAGGAAAATCAATGACCATAGATTAGTCTAATCTATGGTCTAATCATTAAACTTTGAAACGTTCCATTTTTGAAAATTAATTTTCTTTTTGTCAACTTAATTTTCGGCCACTGTGTATTTCAACTTGTGATTATAAAGTGTTATTAAAATGTTTCATACGTTGACCGTATCGTCCCAAACGGCGCTTCAATCGATCGATTATTCGATTCTTAATCGAATGTCCACACACCTCGCGGATATGAAGCGATTACATTATTATTAAGTTGGAGGGCAGTTAGTGAACTCGTCCTTGCACACGGCTCGAGATCACGTACCGTCGCGATTCAAGAGCATATAACCGAACAGTGAACTAGGAGATCATCATATTAAAGATCAAATATTGTATATTTAAAGATATTTGTGTAGGCCTACCAATCAAGAATCTATAACAGCATCCAGTCAAAGGTGGAAAGCAGTGCGGCGCATGAGATTCCTTCAAGTAAGTGCACGTACCTTCTTAAATATTGTAATCGCTTCATCCTCATTATCAGAAGTAAGGACAAACGTATTTCCACCGCTTAACGGTGCCCCTACATTGACATATTTAGAAAATTATTTAAAAATAAATACCAACCGTTGTATGAGAGACGAGGCCTGGTGAGGCACATGACGAGGTGGCACTCTATATCGTCCGGCAGCACGAACTTGCTGCACACAGGACATTTTATGCCTGCAACAATTAAACATAGCCGGTTAGCATGCGTACAATCTACAGATTAAAAAATAAAAACTGGCCATGGGCCTGCGGCTGTCTGTCATGTGAAATCGAGATTAGAGCAATCCTTTTTTTTTAATTATTTTTCCATCAGTTTAGCTGTGAGAATTGCATAAGAAATTATACTTGTAACTCACATTTATATCCAAAAGAGTAAGGGTAGCAAAAAATCTATCTTAGGCTATCCATCTTTGTCCTAAACTCCATTTTTTTTTGTGTACATTTCACTAGCACTATGTCTAATTAGATAATTTTCTAGATTTTTAACAAACATACGCTTTCTGTTTTTACCCAATGGTTAGCTGGTAGAGAATGCCATATGGCATTAAGCCCGCCACTTGTACAACGTTTTATTGTGCAGTAAATAACTAGTAACCATTTTACCAGAGGGAGACTTTGTACAAAAGTCGATTGCTTGGGTACCTCTGTCCCATTCGTGTTTCAACCGTAAAGCAGTTGTGTTTACATGACTGTGTATCGGTTTCAAGGTTGGGATATGGCGTGAATTTACAGGGTACAGAAGGAATAACACCTGAGTCCTCAGGAATGGCAACACATAGGGGGTATCATGGGCGAAACAGTATACTCTGTTATGTCCATGGTACTGTCCATGTATATAGGCGACGGTTACCACTTTCCATCAGGTGGGCCGTCAGCTTGTTTGCCATTCTAATTTGTATAAAAATAAATAAATAAACAAACAACCAAGTCTAGCTAGTGAATTCACTAATTCGTCTTATCAAATACTTGAGTGTTCTCTATAATTTAGCAGTGAATGACAACTACATATTACAAGTAGTGTACAATATCCCAATGGTAGGTAATACAAGTCCTAATGACAGGCAGGGGACGCCATTCCACATCTAGTTAGAGGCGTGTGTTCAAAGTTATGATTGATACAATTTACATGTATAGTTGTATATGAACTGTGACGCACACACAGCTATTTTCGTAATGATTCTCTATTTACCGCTTGACATATGAAACGCATACTTCAAACAGTCAATACGTTCTGCGATACTTGTCCGTCAAGTGTCTTGTTTGTATGGCCGTGCAAATTGAATGCATTGTTATAAATGAAACCGCGGGATTTCAGTAGTATTAAAAGTGGTACATACCACTTCTAGATATGAACATTGCCTTCCTCCAGCCAGTTTGCGATGGCCAAAAATTATTCGATAATTTTCTACTTTAATGCTTATTTTTGGCCACAACAGAATATCAGTATTTTACTCTTTTGAGGGCAAAACAATAAACTGAGATGTGACCATTTTGTGTTACTATGGCACACGCATAAAAGAAAAAAAATGTACTTCTTTTATATATTTCGCTTTTTTGTATATGCATTCTTTTTTCTCTCTTTTTCTGTATATTTCTGTTTTTATTTGTATGCTATAAGTAATACAAGTAAATTATCAATCTATCTTTTGGTATATTTTGTATTTCTTAAAAGCAATAAGCAACCGAATAGCAATAAACGTGTGTGCTGCCGCTACAGTGCAATTTAGAAACTAAAATTACTATAATGAATTAGTTCCTCTTATTGTCGCTAGATGTACCTTTCTCAGAAAATGTAACTATAGATTTAGTATAGGTTATCTACGTTAACATGGCACGCCTCTCCAAATTTTTACTTCAATGAACGCAATTATGGGGAGAAAGGGATTGTTAGAAATGGAGTCAAATAGCCCCATTACTCGCAATATACCCTGTCAGGTCGACCTCTACATGGTTCCCCCTGGAAACCACCGTGTTTAATTCTAGTTGAGTTCATCACGATGAGCTAACTGACCTGCTTTCATCCGCCTCTGTTATCCCTCACCAGTGCCACGCCAGTGTATACCCGATAGCACAGGCGGAGTTACCATACCACTATCACTCATTAAAAAAAATGGATGCCATCCAAACAAACGGGGTACTCATAACGGCCAGATTAATATTATTTTCTTTGGTCGAAACCTTGTAAATATTTTTACCTGCCGGCCTACCAACGGCAAATAGTAACAACGTGTTTATTATAGCATAGATTGCAGTTAAAGTGCCGACATGACTATACAATACTGTAAATAGACGCGTCGAGTCGAGTCACGTACTCTGTCCGGCCACCGCCGCTCTTTGTCCGTTCATCTCCTAATATGTAGGTACGTCAGCTAACAAGTGGTATGCGTATTCCACGGATGAGTTTATTGCATACAAACTCAACTATCAAGGTTCACATATAAACAATATTGTGTTTTTTAATGGGTAAGAATGGAATGGTAACCCCGAAATATTTTCGGAAATTTCGGGGACGAACGAAACAGAAATTTGATGTTAAAACATAATACATGCCGTTTAAAATTATTAAAAATGTTAATATATCGTTCCTCTGGACTATTAGGATAGGATTTATGATGAACGAAATGTTAATTTCCATTTACTGGTTCGATTTCGGTGGGAACAAAAATACGAAATTGAGCGCGAAAATTCGGAATTTCATTTCATGGTAGACCACCAGATCAGTCGACCTATCGTGACGATTTTATCTAGAATTAATTTTCGACAGGGAATCCATCTTCACACCTTAGAACTAGGATGACCACGCACAGTAAGTTAAACCGAAGATAGATATAATAAACATACGTACATGGAATCAATTTTTGAACAATATCCATAAAGCAACTTTTCCATTTAATTACCAAACACAATATCTAACAAAACATCTACTGTCGAACGATCCAAGGACGGTAATTGCAGCCGTTATATTTCCAATAACGATACACAATCTATTTTAATTAAAAGCTTTCAATATTTTGTGGGGCACGACAAAATTATATAATTAAATACACAGCAAATGAAATCAAATGTTAAAAACCTAAAGCTATCTAACACAGACTAACTTTTGTCCACAAGTTATCTGACTGTACTTCATCAACCTCCAGGAGTTTTCCCATTAGTTGGCCTCGGCATGGAACGTTTTTGCCTTACATTCTAGTCTCGATTCAGCCATTTCATTTGTCACTCCACAAACAGTTCTACCTTTCAGAGAATCCATCCATCTTTTTAATGAGCCCATGCGAACAATTACCGGGAGAGTTTTGTCCTCATACGACCAGGGTGAAGCTTATTTTCTCTGCGGACCAAAATTTATTTGTAGATACACAAAACGCGTTCTAAGTTCAAATATTTTTTTAAAATATAATGTATCTACAAAACATCGCCGACCATCGATGCGTTTTATTCATTTTAAAATATTTATTTAAATTTAATTAACAAAAAAATTAAAATGTAGTACAAAAGCTGGTCTTTAGGATGTGCAAAGATACCCGATGGTGGTTTAAATAATAAAGTAACTCGAGATTACCAGTCAATATTTTTTTTATACAACTTAGAATGGCAAACAAGCTGACGGCCCACCTGATGGAAAGTGGTAATCGTTGCCTATAGACATGAGCAGTACTATGGGCATAACAGAGTCACGATTCCAACGTCAAACTCAAATTCACACATCATCACTGCAGCAATTTATTATTCTATTATATCATCATCATCATCATTTCAGTCATTGTCCGTCCACTGCTGGACATAAGCCTCCCCCATAGACTGCCATAAAGAACGATCCTGAGCCACCTGCATCCACCGACCCCCTGCAACGCATTTCAGGTCGTCACTCCATCTAGGGGCTTACACTGCGTTTACCCGTACGTGGTCGCCACTCAAGAACCTTTCTTCCCATTCAATTGTCGGTTCTTCGAGCTATGTGACCAGCCCATTGCCACAGCTTGCTTATCCTCCGGACTACGACGTTTGTTTTGGTTCTTTTGCGGATATCCTCGTTTCGGATTCTCTTATAGGTGAAACTCATAAATTAATGGAAAATTCGAAGGAAAAAGTAATTCAGCAATCCGATTCCCAATTGTACCGGTTCACGTGTCAAATGTATATCCTGAATCGATTCCACGAGAGTGAATCACATAATTGTCGCGGAGTTATAAAGCAGGTCTGAAGGCCGTTCCTTATCGGAATATCAGTTTACCTTGATGTAGAAACTTTTAATGAACTGACGTCAGGGGACTGTAGTGACCATACATTTTTTTTATTTCACCTCAAAACTGAGTAATGGGCGAAAATAGAAGTACCACTATCAATTTACGCTAAGACACTGATGGAGCTGCATTGAGGAGTTAGAAGAGAGAATGAACTAAGATTAGGGGGGGGGGGGGGGATACCATGTAATGATATTCCCAATTTTAAGAATCAATTTCGTGTTTTCGTTCAATTAAATGTTTTGTTCGTCCTAAATCCTACCATAAACGTCCAAAGGAACAATATTTTAACATATGAAACATTTTTAAATGATTTTTATTATATAAGTTTAAGATCAAATTTGCGTTTCGTTCGACCCCGAAATTTCGGAAAACATTTCATAGTAGATTCTCTTATCTCATCGTAAAGAATTCACCAGGAATTAACCGCTGCTTTCCAGAAGACATTATGTGGAGGTCAACTTGTGTCAATGAATTAAGACTTGCTAACAATCTCCTCCCTCCTACAATAAAATACATCACAAGAATAACTGTCATTCGTGTCGTATGACAGTTAAGAAAAATAAACCTTATTTCAAATGACAGACGTTTGGTCGCGTTGGGTCAATAATATTCATAAAATTCAGGGTACTGGGATAGAAAAAAAGCTGCTGGTAACAGTTGTCTACTTGATATATGACTTTTCGCAATGGTTCAGAGGCTTTAATTTAATCAAGGACTATATATCCGCAATCAATATAATAAAAAAAAACTCCTTTTTTAGAACCTATATATATATTAAGTGAATTGTGACCAGAGGGAGACTTTGTACAAAAGTCGTTTGCTTGGGTACCTCTGTTCCATTCGTGTTTCAACCGTAAAGCAGTTGTGTTTGCATGGCTGTGTTCGATTTGAAGTGAGATATGGGGTGAATTTACAGGGTACAGAGGA